CAGGATTGTAGGAACATGTGTTGCTATGGAGGATCCAGTGTTGTCTAGCGCTACAATCTACATTGGCATGAAGCCAGACTTAGGACTTACCTGTGGTTACAGCCAGGAGATAAATAAAACTCACCTACATGTACACCAACCCTTTTCCCTTCTAACACCAACATGTACAGTGTACATGTTGGTGTTAGAAGGAAAAATTTATGCAATAGTCTAGTGGGTTTCATTGAAAAAAGCAAAATGATTTTTAAAAATAACTCAACTGATCCATTTCCAATTATCCATTTTTTTGCTCTGTCAGTCAACTGAGTCACCCATCAGGCAAATGTAAAACGGCGCCATATCCCTGTCCTTTATACCGTAGATTGCTTGTCAATTTCAAGGGTGAAGGTAAAGTTTAGGTTAGGTGACTCTCCCACAGACTGGAGAGAACCAAGACTGGCTCGTTGGGAAATCACATCACACTAACGTTAATTCAAACAAGAACAGTACTAATTACATACATGAACATGTACCAGTATGAGGGTACACTTGTGTGAACTGCAACATGGAGACTAAATTTACAATATACCATTTGCTGCAACTACATGGACAATTATCAACTTCAGCTCTCAGTATTTTAGTTTCTAACCTGCACCCAGACATCTGTTTTGGAAAGTTTACATTCATAGAAAAATTCCATTCAGTTATTTTTCAAAAGAATGTTGAACATTTTTTGTATTAAACTTACCAAAATTAAGGCAACCTAGCAAGTGATGACGTGATGATCGTACCATTTTTATAAATGACACCCCTATTACATTTTGGCTTTTTCTGTTTTAAGAACAGACAGGAAAAAACATGAGAAAAAATGTGAACAAATGTAGAAGAATTTCAGGATTTAATTCAAAGACTTTGAGTTTGATGATCCCTGCATACATAGTGTTACAGTTACACGACGGACATTTGCAATCATCATTACACACAAAAACAATGTCTGTTTGTTTTCAGCTACAGTACAAACCTTGATTCTGATTATACACATGTACAGCTTTCTTTGTGTCATAAACTTAAGTATTTCAGCAAATTAATCCATGGTCTTGCCAGAAAGGGGTGTTTCCCAAGAAAATACATGCATTTACACTGTACCAGTATGTACTAGTGACCATTCTTATGAGTCTTAACATTTTTTGCCACACTACAAAACATACACGGCAACCCAGTCAAAAAGCCGGACAGCTAAAGAACGCGAAGACAAGGAATGGCATACGCAAAGAATTCACGGCAGTCAGTACAGGGCTCGATTTACGAAAAAAAAGTGGCATGCACTGGTGTATGTAGACCAAAATCCTAAATGCACCAGGAAAAACCTACATGCACCATAATTTTGCAAATACCGGTAGCGCATATTTCTGTATAGCAATTTAAGGTTATAAGCCAAAGATAAGGTTACGTGTAGGCGAGTATTAAAGTATGTTTGATATAATAAAGATAACTTGTGAGAAGCATAGTGGTTGGATGTGTGTCATTCTCTCTTGTGTTTACATTAAAACCCTCCTATGCTGAAGTCACTCTTTGGGTCATTTGGTAAACACCTCAAAGAAGCACAGCCGTGTTGTGTTGTGCACTGCACTAACTGTCCCTCACAGGAATATCAGATTGCACTTTTGTGCTGCCCAAC